GCAATTGCACACTCACTCAAATAAGTTCTTCAAGCATACAGTGTATATATATATGGAAGTGAAGTCCCTCTGTTCGGGAGCAGAATCACTCTTCTCCTTGTTGATGCTGAGTGAAAACCCTAATTATGCATTTCTTCAGCGTCACTTGTGCACATATACACAGCGGCACTGATCTGTGCGCTTAACAAACGGTTACATCTATGCTTTATTCCTCACTGGAGCAGATGTGTAATTTTTGTTTCAGATATTTAGCTGTTGCCCAACAGGTGTTTTCTGCTAACAAGCTATCAAGCATAAACACCATTTCACAAAAAGCATCCGCCCACAGCTACATATGAAGTGTCTGTGTGACTTCATGCTCACACCTACTGCTGTTGGTATGGATATGTGCTGGTGCATTCATTACAGGTCTTTCACAAGGATGAGAAATTGATCAAATACTCCTCAGTGATGAAAGATGCCCTCCATGCTCCCCCTGTTTGTCTGTCAGCAACACCATTGCAAAGCAGTGTGTTGTTGCAGTAATGCGGAGGATGGAGTGCAGAAAGAAACAACAGAGGGGAGAAGAGAGAAATGGAAGGTGAAGATATACAATGAGGCGGCAGAGGAGGTAGAGGATGAGGAATATGAAGGATAGTTGATGAAGTGCACAGAGCTGGACAGCAGCCAGGTCTGTTTAATGAGCAAAGTGCTGCACCCAATGCTTCGCACCTAATTACACACACATACACATTCTCACGAACACACACTCTTGCAGTAACCTTACTTTTGCCTTCCCCGCTCTGCAGCATTCCACCATCCAGCACTAAGTACTCCCCCCAGATCAAACAAGCAGCGCACAGTAACCAGCATACAGATGAGCCTTTCCTCTTTCCTCTTCCTCTCTACCCCCCTCCTCTGTCTCATCACAACCTCTGTCTTCTCTTCCCTGCAGTAACCCTGTGCTCCCCCCACCCCCCCCAATCTCTCGCGTTGATGTTCCTCACTCTCATAGAAGGGGAATACATCAGCCCTCACTAGGCAAACACACTGCACTGACACTGTCCTGACTGGTCCAATAAAAACATATTACCTGCAAACTGCAATAGGACACACACACACTTTCTCTTGTACAGTATGAACACACACACACACACACACACACACACACACAGACACACACAGTTGTGCATGCATGGAGCTACTGTGTCTAATCAGATCTAGGTTAGCGGCCGTGGTATGTTGTTCACTGGAACAGTGTGTACCTGCACTCAGGCTGTGCTGTGGAAATACACAGTATTTGTGTGAGGTTGTATGATACACATGAAGATGGAGGCAAAATATTTACACTCGTGTGTGTCCATATGAGTGTACAAGCTGTGATGTGGAAGGCAGATGAGAGAAAAGAATCAGTATTTTTGTGTCACTGAACTGCATTTATATGAGGTTTTGGTTGTGACATGCTGTTGCAGAGAATGTGTTTACTCTTTTGTGCAACTAGAGTATGTGTGTCTCTGTGTAACAGCAAATGTGTCTGTCTCTTATGTAACAGACTCATGCCGATATCAGAAATTATAAAAAGCTAGAAGCTCATAACCTTTAGACAAAAAAGCGAGCGGTATGTCTCCAGAGAGTGCGTTATGACCAGTGGGTCATAGTGGGATTATTCACACGGTGCCATGACTTATTGCCACTTGTTTATTCATTTTTTGAAGCTGTATGTTAAATTCAGACTTTGTGCTGTCCATATTTTGAGATAAGTACCCTAACGTTGTAACAGCTGAACTGAACTTCAGCTTTCATATGGAAAAGTGATAAGGCTTCTGCATCAAAGTGATGCTGTTATCTGAAAATATTGCACACCTTCTGGCAAGTGAGAGCTAAATTTAACTGCAAAGCACAAACACATTGCGGCATATCATGTACAGTACGAACAAGCCTGGATTACCAACTGGGCCATTGACCAGGTGCTTCATATGCTCAGGGGCCTCGCAAGCCTCAGGTTGAGTCAGTAGGGACCCACAGCTCATTTTTGCCGTTTTAGCAGGTTTAGCGGTGTTGTGTACAAGATGTGAATGTACTGTGTTCATTCTAAAATGCTGTTGTGCCATTAATTTGTACAGTTATAGCGAACCTCAACAGTGCACGATGAAGAAATCAGCTAATATAAGGCCATGACAGCAGTGATAGCAGGAAAGACCTGTTGCTATTTATAAAACGAAACCGCGGATTGTCATTCAGTGTGAATACAAATCACGTGCAATGAGTCATAGGTGGAGTGTCCACATTCATTAGTAGCTGGCTGTGTTTATTTGTGTGTTTTTATTGACGGTGCTGTGGTCCAGTTGCTCCTCACAGCCTTGCTTGTGTTTGTGGCACTTTTCTTTAATGAGACAGACATTCTCCCTCCATCTCTCTGTCCCTCCATCTTTCTCTCTCTCTCTCTCTCTCTCTCTCTCTCTGTCTGCCTAATATTCCCCCTACAGTAAATACCCATGAGCCTCCGGGGTAATTAGGTAGACACTTGGGGCTTATAGTGTGGTGCTTTTAAAAATGCTCACTGATACAAATGGAAACTATGGTGTTCTAGTTACAAGTGGAGCTGGAGTAATTGAGAACAGGACAGATCAATGTAGAGACAGAACGATTTAAAACCATAGAGAAAGACAACCACTTGATGATTTAAGTCTGTAACCATGATCTCAGCCTGACCTTCTGTCTGCCTATCTATTAATCTGTTGTTTTATCAGTTTACTTGTTTTGCCAGTTTGTTTTTCCCTCTTCCTCTCCTCTCTCCTCTCCCTCACATTTATTTTGGTCTGAAAACAAGAGGTAAAAAAGGGGAAGGGAGGCGAAGGAAGAGGCAAGAGACGCAGAGGAGCTTTTCACCTTTCATTTCACCGCAGCAATGAGCTGCCAATTTCGGCATGCCCTTTACTGACCATCACTCAGACCTAAACACACACACGGCCACACTGAAACCTGCTCTCCACATGCCTCCCTATCTCCATGATAATCAGCTTCCTTTCATTGTGTTGCATCATGCAGGAAACCCACTGTTAGTCTGAATGTGTGTGAAGGAGAAATCAGTCACAGGAAAAGGAGAGCAGACTTTTAGAGTGAGAATGGTTGGCACAAGCTACCAGCAAACAAAAGAAAAGGTGATGGCTGAAGTTAAAAAAAAGCTAATTCTGTGGCTCTAACATCTGACGTGGACCTCGATTAACATGGAAATCTTGCTGTCACTTGTCATTATTTAAATGATGAAACCAAGCTGTCCAGTGCTGTGCTGGGGGTCAAAATGTTTCCTGAAACACACACACACACACACACACACACACACACACACACACACAGCAGAGCATCTACATAACTACGCCACCGTCTGACAACATCACATCTTCTGGAACAGAGATTTACATATGCTGCACATATTTTTGTACTCCACATGAAATTGTTGTTTTAGTTTTATGCAAAGACACAGTTTCAGGCGGTTTATAAAAACGTAGGTGTCCACACATCCACACACACACACACACACACACACACACACACACACACACACACACATTGTCCTGGTGCAGCTGTTTGTGTTGATGGTGGCCGTGTCACCGCATTGCCGTAGGTTATCAGCCTCTCATCTCCATTCATATATCCTTCCTTCCCTTCACCTCACCTCTTCCTCTCTGTCATTCTCTCATTCGTACCTTTTTGTGCACCTTGTGCCTGTTTTTCTAGACACACATACACACCTCTCTCTCTCTCTCTCTCACCTCTGTTCTCTATCTCACCTCTGTTTTCTGTCCCTGACACCTCTTTGCACCCTCTCTGCGTTATCTCTGTCCTCACCCCTCCTCCCTGTTGTGCTCTCTCTCTCTGTCCCTCCCACACATACACACAAACAGACCCGTTTACACACAAGCGCACACACAAACACATATGGCTGTGTCTGTCTCCACCTCCCTCTTGCTTTTTTTTTTAAAACTCTCCCTCTTTCTCTCTGTCACACCACTCTCAGCCTACTCCCCACCTCCTTCTCTCTCTGATCCTCTCTCCCTCTCCTCGGGGTGAGCGAGGCAGTTCGTAGCATCAGTTTCATTCAGCAGTGACACTGCAGTCTAACAGCATCTTTTAATGGCACACGGTAGTAAAGCTGCCTCTGAAGTGAGCTTTTGCAGCATATTAGATGCACAAACATACACTCTCTCACACACATACACACACAGACAGCACCAGTATACATCTGTGTGACAAACAGCATGTATCTCTGGCAAGCACATATCAGAAGAAGCTTCACTAAACATGCTCTCTATTCCAATAATTGCTATAGATTTTTCTTTTACAATGCAGCACCTTCTGTTCCTCATACAGCACAACATACAAAATGCAGTGATATGTTCAGTGACCCATGTACCATAAGCAAACACACATTAAAAGAACCAGAACCTAACTTTGCCACTGGTTTCATAAGACGTGCGTGTGTGTGTGTGCATTTCTCCTTATGTAAACAGTGTGCTATGACACATCATGCTCTGACATAGCATCCTGTTATAGCACTACGCAACACATCCTAAGGCTCAGGGTGCTGAGCGCAGCTAAGGAAGAAGAAACAAACAAACCGCAGACAAACAGTAAGGTTGCTTCTCATACTTGGCCTGCATGTTCTCCCTGTGTTTTGCAAACAGATACAGTATTTGTACTCATTTTGTGCCTGTTGTTTGGACAGATGCTGGTGGAAAACAGGACTGAGGCAGGTGTTTGGTATTGGGAGTGTGTGTTTGTGTGTGTGCGTGTGTGTGTGGGAAGCGAATGTTCTTCCACCAAATGAAAATAGAACGCAGTCCCATGAGGGTCCCTGCTGTCCTCTATTCGGAATGCAGACAGACATGGACACAGACAAATACAGACACACACGCCCCCTCTGCAATTCCCCCTTGCTGTCACTTCCATCTCTACAGTGCTGCTGTCCATCTTGTGTCCTGTTATAGAGAAGAAACAAATGACAGGGAAAGGCATGGTACCTGGGTTAGGGGTCAGCCGTTCTCCTCCTTTTGTTGTCCCTCCAATCCCCCTCTTGTTGAGCTGTTCTGAGCTGAGGCGAGCTGAGCTGAGCCGAGCTTACAGCGGCGAAGCTCAATCCTTTTACCCTGCGATGCTGA